AATGCTGTTAAATGCTCTGAATGCAGGTGTGTGTATGTGCACACTGACCAAGTCGTGGGTCATATTGTCTCATCTGGACTTCCTCTACACAGTGGGCAGGAAACCAGCCAGTTCGTCCTTTAACTGAGCCTTCCCAAAATCCACCTTCACCTATGCTTAGCACTGGTGGAGACACATTATATGCTGTATTTCGGATATTTAACTCATTTATGGATGTTTATTCAACTGCAGGCATTTATTTTCCCAGATATTAAAACTTTCTTATTATTATTTATTTATTTATTTACTTGAATATTATGTTAAATCTGTCTTGGTAGGCACTTTTTATCAAGTCTTCATCTCATTTGTTACTTTTTCAAATGCCTTCAAGTGTAAATATTATTGTTTTACTGTTGTTCCAAACCAACACGTCATCAAAAAGATAAAACTGACCATAGAAGAAGACAGTTTGCGCTAATGCCTGCTATAGCTCCCCTTGTGGCAATTCTGAGAATGCAACACATACTTATGAGCAATGTGCTGCGTTATGAAGTAAAACTTTCAGATGAAGTCATGAAATTGAACTTACATTTGAAAAATTAGGAAACAAAAAAAAAAAAATATATATATATATATGTATGTATGTACTGTGTATGTATATATATATAAAATAGTTATGCATTTAGCTTCTGCAAGACAGTCTGCAATTTTATTCCTAATTTGTTCATGATGGTTCAATTCTTCTGTAATGCATGTATATTCACTACTGAACACTGTGAGTAGACATAGTAGCCCATAGTTGAAGAAATATTCAGAATGCCACAGACTGTAGCAAACTCCAGCATAAAAATAACGTGATCTTTTGCTGCATCTCACACAGAGAGGCTGGCTGACTGACCTTTGACCCTCTCTCCTCGGTTGAGTGTGATCTCACCCTCGCCCTGTGGAGTGTGGGAGCTGACAGCGATGAAGGTTCGGCCGGGCACCGCACTGTACAGCCGTCGCTTGGGCCCTCGAGACACGGCTGGAGGACTCGGCTCTCTCTGTACAGGACTGCCAGGGCTGCGGTGTGCAAACACGTGTGCAGAAATGATTAACAACCAACTCTGAGGTGGATATTGTCTTTTTTTGTCAGGTAATCAATGCTTTATTAATTATTATTATTTATTTAACTTCAATCACTATGCGTTTAAGTTGAATGGGGGAAAAACTTTTTTGATTTTTTCAGAAATAAGTCAAATTAAATATAAATTAAAATGATAAATAATCACATCAAAAATTAAATTAAAATTAAATGGAAAAAAACTTTATTATTCTTTTTTTTCCCCAAAAACAGCAGTCAGGGCATGTTGCTAAATGTATGTAATTTTGTGTTCAAATAGAAAAGCAAAGAAAAAAAATACAAATCAAGGATGACTCCTTGGATGAAGTGGTGTAAATAAATTAATTAAATGTAAATAATTGAAATTTAAAAAACTGAAAATAAAGCAAAAATTAAATAAATATGACATTTAATTTTATGGAAAAGAGCAGTCTGGGCATGTTGCTAAATATCTAATTTTGTGTTCAAATAGAAAAAGAAAAAAAGAAAATATCACATTGGTTTGATGGAACCTCTGTTTAATATAAATCAAGGACAGCTCCGCACCTGAGATGTCCTCCTGAGCGGGTGTGTCTCCTGAGGCTGCGCGTGTGAGTGTGAGCAGTCTGGGGGCTGCGCTGGGATGGGGTGGTGTCATCGGGCTCCAGCGGGGGCAGGCTGCGAAGTGAGGGGGCCGGAGAGGGAGCTGTCAGACTCTCATCTAGAGCATTATCACTGGCCGATCGCATCAGAGAGCGACGTGGGGATACGCAGACCGCACGCCGCCGGGACGAATAAGAAGGGGTCTCCCTGAAAGGCACTTTTACAGGAAGACGGAGACACATAAATAATTATGCATACTTTACATAAAAACACACAGAGCCTAGCGATATTTATATTGCTGTAGTCAATTTGATTTCCATGCTTGTAATATAAAACCATGTAAATTTGTGGAAGATATCAGACATGCACATAACAAAAGATTCACACCACACACACCAATTATGGAAAAGGAAATATGTATTTGTGCCGTAACACAATTTGGCTCTTACTGCTGCACATTATATTTATTAAAGTGCACTTTTATCTTTAAAAATATATATTTACATCCGAGAACCATTTGGAAATTGCAGTCCTTTTAATATCCAGTTGTTTAATATCCCGCTGTGTCATTCAAACAAAGCAACTTTTTTAAAGTGCCACAGAAACAGTGCTATTTTCTTCCATCCCAAGTTGATTTTTCCAGGAAATTGTATTTTAATGCGTACCTGGATCAAATTCAGCTACGGTGTAGTTGCCTAAATCATCGAAAAATCATGCAGAAACATTAAATGACCCGCTAGACCAGAATGACCACTGTAATGGATTCTCGAAGAATCCTATCAGTTGTGAATAAAACCCATTTTCGCCTGTCGAATGGATCAAGAACACTCTCCAGGAGGCTGGTATAGATATGTCCAATTTATCATGAAGAAAAAGACTAGCAGAACAGATTAACCTGTATCAGGCTGAGATAGAGAGGAATCACTCATAACCTGAAGACTAGCACCCCATCTGTGAACCACGGTGTTAGAACGGCTTAAGATGTGTATGGCTGCTGTTTAAGATTATAATACGTCCAATTAATTTTGATTGAAATGGTCAGGTGGAGGTCATGTATAGGCTGCAAGTCCTTGATGGTTCATGGTTTACGGATGTAAATATCATAAATAAAGTCAGACTTTAAAGGGGTCATATCAAATCTCAAAAACCTAAAACATATGAAATAAAGTAATTTGTTTTCATCCACCTTTATAATTAAATGTGCCATTTTGCTACTGTACCTTTAACATTTCAAACGTAAATGCTCTTTATAAGTGATGTTGATTTGCAGGTTTTGTTAATATACAATTGTTTATAGGTTTAAAAACCACTTGCAGAATCAATTCAAAAGATATTTCAAATTTTTAATGAGAAATAATAAATAAATAAAACGGATAATAAAAATTCTACTAATACTAATTATTATTATAAGGAGTGGGCGATACGATCAAAACCTTATATCACGATACGAGTAATTTTATTTCATGATAACGATATATATCACAATATAGTTATTTTTGCTTTAAGATATCTACATTTTTGATAGCATAGAAATTTCATAATTCTTGCCACCGGTGTCAATATCACAAAAAACTAATACTAGTCTAATAAAAGTCTAAAAAACAAACCTCAAGCTCACTGAAGACAAGCCAGCAATTACATTAGAATAAGAAAATAATTACAAACAATAGGACAAAAAACTACAGTAGAACAAATAAATAAGAAATGCTACGTACATTGTATTAAGTAATCAAATGTATAAAAACACTGCATATTCTTCACTGTGTAAATTAAAACAAATAATACAAAATACTACTTAAAAATAAGAATAAAAAATAAGAATAAATAAATACGAGAAAAATTATACATTTTTATATAACAACCCTTGGTTCTTAATAGCGTGTGTTGCCTCCTTAAATATCAATGTTTGCTTATATAGTCTTTTGTGATAGTTGTGAATGAGTCGCCGGTTTGTCCCTGTCCCTGCTCTATACTAAATCCATTCAGGTACAGTAAATTCTTGGTTTCCCAGCATGCTCTGAGCAACTGTGCTTGAGAACTTAAACATGTAATAAGGTATTGAGTGACTGTGAGTCATGCACAACTATCACAACAGGTGACAGTCACTGATGCTTGAGGAGGCAATACACAGTGCAGTCTTGAGAAATATATTTAAATGTTACTATAAATAAATAAAAAACAAAATGCTATTTTATTCTCCTTATTTTTATACATTCTGCAAAACAAATCTTATGAACAATGGCAAAATGTGAACTTATGAATGCAACTGTATCTGATTTATATGAGAAAGATTTTGCAGTTCTGTTTCGCTAAATGGCCTTTTTAGATTGGGAAGGACGTTTTCAGTTTTGAAAGATACTGCAAGATTTAGTATACTGAATGAAATTAGATTTCTCATGATATGACCACTTTAAACACACAGTTTTGTGTTTAAAGTGGTCATGTGAAGCAAGGATTTGCACTGGTTAGTTAATCAAATACATCATGAAGACCGCACAGGAAGATCAGCACATGAAACACACTCAGATTACACAAAAATTACGAACAGATGACTCACAGATTACATCACACAGAGCATGACTGAGATTTACAAAGAGAAACACACACAAATCATAAAGAGATTAGCCCACATACACTAGACAAATACATCACTTATTGAAAAGTTAGAGTGCTGATAGGAACAGTATCTAGATCTGACTGTCTGAAATTGTTAAAAAAAATTATGCATTTATGGATTGTTTTGACACAGGCTGTGATAAAGTTACTAGATTCACGCTGCTTCGTATGATCAACCACTCTTATGTTGTCATTGCTGCTTTTACTCTGAAACGAGCACTTGTGCTGCATCCACTAGACTAAATAATAAATCGAGGTTTTATCTGAAATGATACCCAATAATGGGTTTGAATTAGAGTGAACTGATTTCATCTAGACAACCCACGAAAACTTATTATGGTGTTGTGGTGCCGAGTAAATAGACCCAAGATTCAAGCCCCAATGCTTCAAGCAATTCAAACTAAATCCTGATCAACTCACCAACATCTGAGGTTTTATGAATCTTGATGATTTCTGCCAGGTCAAAGTTCCCTGCGATGATAGCAACCTACGAGAAAAAAAAAAATGCAACATAATAGGAAAGGAACTAGAGCTGATCCAAAACATCTGAGAGATGTTTCATACCTGAAATGCTGTTTGGTTGTTGTAGTTCTTGATTTCTTTATTTGCTCCTCGAAACAGGAGAACTCTAGCACAGCCTTCCTGTAGATATGGCAGAGAGAATAAATAAAAAGGTGGTGAGTGCAAGAGAAAACATGAGAGGAGATTACAGTTATAACACCCTGTAAGGTTTATATGTGATTTGATGCCCAGCTGAGTTTAATAACTATATACAATTGCAGTGAAATACTAGCATATAGCGTACTGCGAAGTATGTATACTGACTACTATATTTTTATTTTAAAAAATGTGAAACAGAATCCATCAGAGGTGTGTTCCCTGAGGAAGCAATGAAGGCAGCGCATACTTAATATATTTGGATGAAAACATAATCTATAATAAAACAAATACTAAGAAGAACAAAATCTAATAGTGTGTTCCATATGGCAAAAAAATAAATAAAATTATATATATATTTTTTTTTTTTTTTTTTTTTTTTTTTTGTGGCCAAAATATTTTTTTTAAATATATTGTAAACAGTGAAGTTCAATGAAATGTATTTTTGCAATAGAAAATATAGTTAGTTTCAACCTTATATACCAAAATTTCAGGGGCAAGAAAATACATATCCAGTCTCACAGTAGTCTACATTTCGGCTAAATGCAAATGTGGATAGAATGAGTCAAATTGGTGGAAATGGACGGATGAACTATACAAACCAAACAACATCAAAATTGTTGCAAACATCGACAGTATTTGTTCAAACTGAAGCATTTACATTTTTTTTTAAGTACAAAATTAATGTTTTAGTCTGACTGAAATTGAACTTGTGCATGTTGATGTACTTGAAAGATGACAGATGATGTTAAAAAACTGCAGTTAATATCACTTCAGGTTCATTTGTCACACCAGCAGAGGAAGCTGGAGTTGGGTACAATTACAGTATTCCACTCAGTTCGCTATAGTTACATTTCACACATTTTGACATATGTAGCAGGTCATCCTCAAATTTTATGCATGAGTGTGCATTACAAAAATGCACAAGAATGCATACTACATACTGCATAGTGTTTACTTAAAAATTGTACGAACATACCAAATATTCTGAGAAAGCATCTGATGGAGTTGAGAATGGAGAATGTTTGTATATGTATTTGTGGGTGTGCGTACCTGGTTGTAGAGGGCACACAGGTGTAGTGCTGTGTTTCCTGAGGCATTCTGAGTGCTCATCTCCGCTCCATAGAATAACAGGTGCTCAAGGTGCTGCACGTTTCCATGACGACAAGCCTATGGTACAAAAACACACACATGCGCGCCTCGATCACCCACTGCTACAGGTGTAGCAAACAGTAAAAAGGATATATTTAGTCTCGCTGGAGAATGAAACTCTAAGCTACAGGAGATTTTCTTCCCTTTTACGTTTAATGAGGGAGTTCTGAGCATCAGACATTACCTGATGGATCTCCTGCCAGCCGTTCTCATCGCTGTAGCCCAGCTGGGCGTGATCGTACAACAGCAGCTCGCAGCAGTATGGATCTCCCCCAACCATGGCACTGTGATAGAGGGGGGTGAGCCCACGACTGTCCTTATAGTCTGGAGATGCCCCCAGATCCAACAATGTCTGCGGATAGCACACGAAATATGATGGACATATGTGCACAGACTCCCAACAGCTTGTGATGAGTTGTATAAGGATGAGTCTTTCTTTGGATTGTGCGTGTGGGAGGGAAAGTGCATCAACTCACAGTCAATGCTACATGGTTGTGCGTTTGGACCGCTTTGTGCAGCGCCGTCAGGCCGTCTCTGGTTCTGAAGTCCAGATGGGCTCCTCCGCTCCTCAACACCTTAATCAGATCGGCACAAGTGTCCAGCTGGGCCACGAGAGTGAGAGGAGATTCTGGAAACATCGCACATGGAGAGATGATTAAAAATGCTAAATGTCAAATCCGTTTCAGCGAATAAATGATTGGCTCATTTTGTCGAATGTCCTTGCTGATTAGCTTTGTCCTAAATTTACATTCATTAAAGCATGCTAATCAAGGCAAACTTTAAAGGAATAGTTCACCTATTTTTCATGCCAAATGAAAATTCATGTTGTTCCAACCCCATATTATTTTGTTTACTCCATGAAACCAAAATGAGATGTTTGGCAAAATGCCCAATTTGCTCTTTTGCACACATTGAAAGTAGATTGTGAAATATGTCTCTAAGCTCCAAAAAGCACCCTAAAAGTATCATAAAAGTAGGTTGTATGACTTCTGAAATTATATGATAGCTTTATGTGAGGAACAGACCAACATTTATACTATTATTCAATCATAATCTTTGCCAAGACTCTCAACCAGTCTTGTTCAAAATGGCACCTATTAGATGTATTATACAAAGTTTGAATTCAGAATCATGAAATATGCTGTATATATATATATTAGGGGCAAGGGAGGCAGTGCTTCCTCAAAATATTGGATGAGAAAAAAAATGCAGTACAAAAATAAAACAACACCAATATTACAAAATATAACATTAAAAAGTATATAAATCACATGTTTTTGTAAACAAACACTGTCCAACAGCGACACCAGCAGGTAAAGTTACAGCAGGAGTCCGCATCTCTCTCGCCTCCCCTGAGCACACTGATTTTTAACAGACCCCCTAAAGCATGCCGTGAGTTTAGTGGGGGGTCATTGAGAATGAATGGGAGAAAGTCACGTGAAAAGTGATATGATTGAATATGACTGGTTATGTTCAACTGTGATTGGTTCATGCGATAAATCCCACCTCTTTTATTTGGGATCTGTCTGAATGAACAATATAATGACATTAATGGGGAGACTAATAAAAAAGTAAGTATACAACTCACACACTTCGATATAACCACTCTGATATGTCAAAATAAGACTTGAAATGACCTGGAAACATGATCTGTGGGAGTTTTTAGTGAGTAATCAGCTTGGTGAAATTTTAGGTAAATCTCTGTCTGTGACCATTGTTTACCGAGCTTTGATGACTGATGATCCGAAAAAAAAAAAAAAAAAAAGTTAATAGTAAACTATTAAACAGAATAGCGGAACATAAGTTCACAAATAAAAAAGATTGTTTAAATTGTTACTGCCTCAAGTACATTTTTTTAAACAACTGTAAAATGCTTAAAAACACTACTTGATGAGATTCATACTTGGCTATAATAAATAGAATATTGATTACATTGTTGTAAAAATATAAAATGAAATTTTTTTTTTCTGATAATCTTAAGTAATGTTAATTTAAAGGGATAGTTCACCCGAAAATTAAAATGTTATGTTTATCTGCTTTCCCCCAGGGCATCCAAGATGTAGGTGACTTTGTTTCTTTAGTAGAACACAAACGAAGATTTTTAACTCAAACCGTTGCAGTCTGTCAGTCTTATAATGGAAGTGAATGGGAATCACGGCTTTGAGAGTCAAAAAAAAAACATACACAAACAAAACCAAATTAAACCCTGCGGCTCGTGACGATACATTGATGTGTAAAGACACGAAACGATCAGTATGTGCAAGAAACTGAACAGTATTTATATCGTTTTTTTACCTCTGATGCACTGCAATGTCTGAACTGTCTGAACTGTCCTGAGTTCTTTAAAGAACCATCTCTTTCTTGCGTTTTTGTAATCTGAAGAACCTTATTTCGCCACAAAGAACATTTTGGGAAACAGAAAGGTTCTTCGGATGTTAAAGGTTCTTTATGGAACCATTTAGACAAAAAGGTTCTTCTATGGCATCGTGAAGCACCTTTATTTTTAAGAGTGTAATTGAGATTGTAGCTAGAGTGTCAATGGTCCATTTGAGAGATAGGTGGCGGTAATGCACTTATAAGTCTGCGATCCGCCGTACAGCAAGAAGAAGAAGAAGACGCATCACTAGACTGACAGACTGCAACGGTTTGAGTTAAAAATCTTCGTTTGTGTTCTACTGAAGAAACAAAGTCACCTACATCTTGGATGCCCTGGGGGTAAGCAGATAAACATCAAATTTTCATTTTTGGGTGAACTATCCCTTTAACCAAGAAAATGTGACTGAGACATGAATTTAAATTTGATTAACGACTTTGCCTCCTCGTTTCAGAACACCACCTTATACTCTAAAGTACTCACCCCCACTCTCAGCATCATGAAAGTTGGGGTCCAGCCCTTTCTCCAGGAACCTGCAGACCTTGTCCACACACCTTTGTTGAACATACTCCATAAACTTCTTTAGATTGGCCTGGCAGCAACATAAATGAGTGAAATACTAAGAAGTGACATACTACATTCACAACAGAAAGTTGCTTAGACCATTATTTTTTATTCAGAAATCTTGTTTTTGGTGCAAATGGAGCACATACAAAGAAATTAGCCAAGTGGTTATTCACTTATATGTAAATAAGTCTTAAAGATATAGTATCAGAACAGTCTGTACAATTCTAAAAGTGAAAAAATCTAAAATTCCATTTTATTTTGCTGCAAGAAACCTTGACTAGCATAATTGGACGTAGAATAATGAATGCAATCAAACTGTAGGTTATGTTCCTTTTAAAGGCACTGTAAGCAATTCAAATTCTTTTGCTAACTTCTGCCATTTTGCTAACCTGAGCCGCATGCCCTCTCCAAGCCCATCCTTTAAAGACATGTCAGCAAATGCAATGTCAGCAAAATCGAATGCACTAAATTATTCGCAGACAGAGAGCATTTCTAATTAGCTATTTTTTTTTTACATTTGGCTTAAAAAAAGCATGGGCTGCTCCCATGACTCTATTTGGCATTTAAACTGTCACAGAGAAACATGCAATTTTCTCAAGACCAAAACAAATAGCTTACAGCATGTTTTAGATAACACAGTTTTTTTTTTCTTTCTTTTTTTTTTTTTTTTTTTAATTGGAACGTTTCAGCATTTAGAACAACAGCTTTGTGTATAAAATTATATACTACTGTTGGATTGGTAAGATTTTTTTTTTTTATGTTTCTGAAAGAAGTCTTATCCAAGGCTGCATTTATTTGAATAAAACAAAAAAGTAAATGTGACATATCATTACAATTTAAAATAAATATTTTCTATTTTAATATTTTTAGAATGATATTTATTCCTGTGATGCAAAGCTGAATTTTCAGCAGACAGTACTCCAGTCTTCAGTGTCACGACATCTTTCAGAAATCATTCTAATATGCTGATTTGGTGTTTAAGAAACAGCTGGTCAAAAGAACAGCATTCATTGGAAAAAGAAATATGTTTAAATGTCTTCCACTCTTGATCATTTCAATCCGTCCTTTCTCAATAAAAGTATTATTTTAAAATAAAATATGTGTACCAACCCCAAACGAACCGTAGAGAACATGAATGTTAAATGTTACCTTGGTATGTAGTTTGGCCAGTTGCTTGTCATCTACATGGCTCTGAGTGTAAACACGCCTCTTGTAACGGAACTGAAGTCACACAAATGAATTAAAACGGTAAATGAAAATAATAGCAACATGACCTAATTATATAATAAGTGAGAACTCAATGTAGGATGCAGAAGGATGTACACCTCTAGGTACGGTACAGGTGTGACCGTAGGGAATGGATAGTCCCTGAGCAATCTCTCCTCATCAAGGAACTTTCCGGCGCGCCCATTAAAGGCAGGGAGGTAGAGGCCATAGTTAAGTACATCGGTCAGGCTTTGTGTCAGAGTGACCAGAACTCGCTGCTTACAAACCCACACTGGAGCCTCAAGGTCCAATCGCAGGCATTTCTGAAAACACATATATTACAAACTCGTCATATTCCTACAGTCATGTTGCTTTTATTTTGGGATTTATGCATAATTTATTATACAGATTGACAGAAATGAGGTGATATTTATCAGGATATGTAGAAGGCTGGACTCAAACCTGCATCACCTATATGAGCACCAAGGCTTAAAGTGCCTGGATTACATGAGCTAACTGCTGCGCCGTGGCTCTGACTAGGTCAGGTATAAGTTTAATTATTAATGTACAATTTGAATCTTGCTCCGTCATCAATTGTCTTGAAATGCCACAATATTTACTGCAGCAAATAGTTCAAAACTATTAAAAAAAACATGATTATCTGTCCATTAAATAATTCCTCCAAAAGCACCAGGCTTTAGACTTCACTTAAGATCATTTAAAGGGGTCATATGATGCGATTTCAAGTTTTCCTTTCTCTTTGGAGTGTTACAAGCTGTTCGTGAATAGATAAAACATTTCATTACACCAAATACACAAAATAATGTTATTTTTAGCAACATCATATGACCCCTTTAAGAGATCAAGGCCTGTACTATTTGTTCTTGAACGTTTATTCATAATCGGTCAATAAGAATGTGCTGAACTCATGGCATCTTCTTACTTAAATTAGCTGAAAGTGAAGTGAAATGGTGTTTGTGAGATTTGCATTGTAAAAATAACGCCATTTAAAGAAATATTTTATTATATAAAATAAAATATTATAACAAAGAGAAAAGAAAAATTGAAATCGCATCATATGACCCCTTTAAAGAAATAGTTCACCCAAAAATTCAAATTTACTGAAAATGTACTCACCCTCAGGCCATCCAAGATGTACAGGAGTTTGTTTCTATGAACTCATCTACATCTTGAACAGCCTGAGGGTGAAAACATCATGATAAATCCACAAGTAATCCTCACGACTCCTGTCCATCAATAATAGTCTTGTGAAGAGAAAAGCTGACTGTTTGTATGAAACAAATCCATCATTAAGGTACTTTAACTTATTTAAATGTCATATTTCTTTTGGACTGTTTTGGCTTATAAACAGTGCTTGATCTGTTTTTGTAATGATTCCAACGAGACAGCTTTTTAACTGGAGAATATTATGGATAGAGGACTTGTATTTTAGCTGGAAGAAACGGTTTGAAGTTAAAAATGTCTTAATGGTGGATTTGTTTATTACAATCACACAGCTTTTTACTTCAGAAGACATTAGTTGATGGATGTCATGTGGATTACTGTGATGTTTTTATCAGATGTTTGGACTCTCATTCTGACGGCACCCATTCACTGCAGAGGATCCATTGGTGAGCAAGTGACGTAATGCTACATTTCTCCAAATCTGTTCCAATGAACAAACAAACTACACCTTGGATGGCTTAAGGGTGAGTACATTTTAAGCAAATTTTCATTTTGAAAACTTGAACTATTCCTTTAATATTTTCTGCTCGCAGGTTTCTATAATATGAGAAGCAGAGGGCAAAAATAAGAACCTTAAAGGGGTTGAACTGCCTCTGTTTTTTATTTTGTATTTTTCTGAGGTCCACTTATAATGTTATCAAGATCACATCAAAAAACATCATAATTTAGAAGTAATAAGCTGTTTTCTGTCCTGTTTTTAACCCCCCTCATTAGAACACTCTGTTTGAATAGGCGTGTCGGATTGTAGACTCAGAAGTAAATGCCCACTGCTATGATTGGCTAACAGATGTGTATGTTTGACAGCCTACATCCTTCACAGATGGACACTGCTGTGATTTAGGTTAAAACGCATAAATACTCATATCAAACGATCTGTAATAACAGACAACACAATAGTGATCACGTAAAAACAGTTACTCACACTTGTGTGGTACGACATTGGATCCAATGTAATCGACACAGCATCGTCTTTTAGTTTCAGTCTTTCTGAAAATCCTGTCAAATTGTGCCTTGTTTGTAAACGAATCCACAGTAAAATGAAGTGAACAAAGGACCAAGTTCTTACTGACGTGGTCTGGCACTCCATTAAAAATAAAGTTCATCAAATATAGTTTATCGTTTTGTTTCTGTGTAGACCTGCGTTCGCCCTTCTCGTTATTTACACTACACGTGCGAATCTGTGGGCGGGGCTAAACAGGCAGCGATGTAGAAGCAGGCGTTGATGTTCTTCTGTGGAGGCGGTGCTTATCCACACTATTACATCATAGAGTAGAACATTCAAAAAGCTGTCGTTTTGGCAGACTGCCTTCAATATAAGCTGTTTTTATACTAATGAGAAAGTTTTGAGTTCTGAAACTTACAGAATGTTTTTATAGCACAATGACCTTTTATATGTCAAAAGATCAGGGGAATTTTTATTTCATGACCCCTTTAATAGAGGTGCAAGATACAAAACTCAACTTCAAAGTACCCCCGTCGGACACTGACAGAAAGCAGGGAGTTACGCTGGATGCCGAAACGACTGTAAGCAGAGAAAGGTATGTCTGCAGTTTTCTGTTTGACAGGATTATGTAAACATGTTCCACATAACAACAATTAGAAGTGCAAATTTATTCGGCAATTAAACTCCAAGTCCATTTTTGGATGACACCATATATGCAATCGACATGCATGCGGCATCTTTCAGCACAAGTGACTTCGGATCCCGGTGCAGAAACATGCGTGCATGTAGACGACATGCTGTAAGCCTCTGTCACACACCCCTTACTCCCATGCAGAATCAACAACTCGGTCTGTACCAATCACTGCCACTCTCTACTCCTGTGCTGCAGTGCAGCCATTTCAAATAAAAGAGCGACCCTGCATATGCATATGAGGAGCGCTCACCGTTTGCTGCAGATCAGGGATTCCGATGCGGATGACAACTGCATTTCCGTGGAGATCCTCCATAGGTTCGGAGGTAGATTTAGTCCCAGGAGAGGCCCGAATGCTGTCATCTCCGTGATTACCGTTGGTAGGGGTGTGTTGTTGCCACGGCCGGTCGAGAGCCTCATGTTTGCCGTCGGCAGGTGGACTGATAGGCATGCTCCGGGAGAGTGTGTATGTGTGTGAGTGTGTGTGCGTTCTGCTCAACACGCCGGCCTCACAACCCTACAAGACAACATGCACCTGTCAAACTCATTCTAATGTACTGTTTAGGGTGTTTTTGGGAGATCTGATATTAGATTACCTGCATACTAGTAAAAAGCATGTGCTCAAAGTGTGCATTTGTGGCTCATAATGTCAAATAATGTCAGTGTCTTTACGTAAGCACGGAGATGACATTTTACCACAAATCAAGATAAAATAACGGGATGAGAGAGTTTGACAGAGACAGTGAGAAAAGAGAGAGAGAGAGAGAGGAACTCCATTGGTTGTGAGTGGTTGCCATGGACACTGTGAAGCAGATCCACTTGGGAATAATGGAAATTGAGGGAACCCTGCATCCCAAGTTACCATGGCAACTCAGCACTTTGCTTGTACTGGTGCGCTACCACTTCCTCTTTAGAGACATGCTGTGCAAAATCACACACACGCTCACTGTAGTCCCTCTGTTTGGAGCATCGCAAGCAACAAGCCAGCGGCACTCTTGAACTCTTGACACCCATTTTAAATACTTAACCCTCTGAAGCATGATTATGTGCGCTACAAAAAGTCATTTTAACCATTCAGGGTGGGATGTTGCATCCAAAGCATCATAGGCAGTTACTTTAGACCGTTTCCCACAATTCTATATGTCTGTCTTGTTTATATGCTATTGTGCAATTTATATATGACAACATTCCCAGTAATGTTTGGTTCACACATCAAATTTTGATTATAAAAATAATGCCTAAATAAAAGAATGGTATGTATTGGTTTTCAAATAAATAACCTAAGAGAATCCATACACTAACGTTAGAGGAACGTTCTGTGTTTGCCTGGTACAGTCTGATTTACCTACTGTATGACTATTATCTTTTATTGCAGTGAAAAGATGTCAGGACTCTGTCAGAATACACTGTTTTGATGAAATATAAACACTTGGAATTATCATGTGTTATTGTTTTGAAGTAAAAAGATTCATTTTGTATGCTTCAGAGGGATAAATACCTTGCACATTTTCAGCCACACTAAGAATCAGTGGAGGAATATGCCTCATTCTTTTACCATACTATTATCACAGCCGGCCACATGTAGCCATCCACCTACTCACTCATTCCAATGCAATCACACACAAGCTAAAACATTTCAGACACTCTTGACTATTGTCCACAGAGACAGAAGGGAAGTCCTCTATTACGTAACAGACATTGTCACAGAGAACATTAGATGGAAAATCCCTGTAAAGAGCAAGTATCATTTGCATCAGCATTGTTAAACTATACGACCAGCAGAAACCTAACTAAGATCTGAGATGTTATGATTCAACTGAATTAAAATACCGAAATATAAAGGTCTGTGATCACTAATAATCAATTACATAAAATGATATAGAGATTCTTTTAGACAGTACCCTTTTGAAAAATAAATAGACTAAAATTAATTTGAAATACATTTATTTCAGGCTAAGTATACTACAAATACATTTACATATTTATGTACTTAATTAAAATACCCTGCAATTGTACTTTTTGAATACTAAACTGTATACTTAAATTGGAACAACTAATTTTGTGCTTAATGCACAATTAATTGTGCGGAAGTAGTGCTGAAGTCCAATTAAAGATAAACTGAAGGATATTTGATTGTGCTAAAGTGGAACTATTGCAAATATACTTTAGGTACACTTTAAATATCTTGCATTTAAAGACCGATATTATTCAAAGATCATACAATCCTCATCAATAGTGACATTAAAACACATTTTAGGCTTAATATTAAGGAATGTGTATTGTGCACAAATAGTACTCCAAATAAAGTTTAATTATAATTTTTATATCAGGAAGTCTAAAGCGATATGTCAGTAAATATGTTAACAGATTTGAACTATGCTTAGTATGAAATAAATGTATTTTAAATATATTACTTTTTTTACTAGGGTAGTTGTAACCAAATGTTGTTTTCAGAAGAAATCATAGCAAAAGTTCCCATGATGTCTCATGAAGTTCCCAGCCGTTCCCACGATGCTAAGACATTCTGAATGGTTTCTAGGAAGTTGTTAAGTGGTTGCTAGGGTGTACTGAGTTATTGCATACTGGCTCAAGTAGTATCCCACCCATAAGGCAAGACATTCTGGCAAGTTTCCTTCCTTAAGTGTAAGCGTTTTAACATCTTGCAGGCAAAATCGTAAGTCTAATCACTTAGAATAGTAACAGCACACTCTCTTTAACATTCCATGTCACTTATAGTGCAAAACGGACAAATTGCATGCCAAAGTTTAGTATTTAGATATTTAGGGGTTTGTTAAAATCCCCAACAGTAAGTATGAGCAATATTAATATTTCTTTAGCAAACACCACTAACAAGCTAGATGTATTGAAAGCAAGGAAACAAGGAGGAGTTCACCTTTGACCTGGACTTCCCATGTGAAGTTCCTGTACATTCGCAGGTATTTCTAACTTTTTTCCGTCTTTATTCCAATGGTTTTCTGCCAGTATTCCACAATACGCACTTTGTTTTTGTAAAACAGCAGGGCCAAATGTGCCGGCACTCCCTCCGAGGTCTGAGATTTCTGGACACTTGAAGCCCAACCCTGATGCTGAATATTCCCGAGCAGGAAAACCGGGAGGAAATTACAGCAGGAAGGTCTCCAGACCATTTCAACCAAACAAAAACATTGTTTGAAGACCACCAATAAGCAGCCAAGGTTCAGCATCTCGACCAATCACCAACGTTTCAATAAACACCTCAGGTGAGGCTACGCTTAAATAAATCATTCTGGTTGTAATAAACATCTTTGTCATTCCTAATGTCACTCGATACAGCCTGTTCAAGTGCCACTGTACATTTAAGATGGATAAAATATAGCAACAAGAGATTATATGATCCTTTGATTGAATAAATAAGAGATTTTATTTATGCATGGTGCTGGATAATGCATTTATCAAAGCATGTTGCGGTTACACCGAAAAATGATGCCAGTCTGAATGAAGAAATAAAAAAACCTTCATAAAATCCCATCAATTTTACATACAGAATCAACTCCCACATATTCCCACTTACAAACACACACACACACACACACACACAAATCCGAAGCAGCACTATCATTTCTTTAATCCAGCACTGTTACAGTCTCCAGAAACTTCCACTGGACCTGTTTTCATACTAAGCCCTTCTGGCTTTGTGATTTACTTCCCGTGATCTCGGCCCAACTTCCTGTCCTTCTTCCTGGCTGGATTGGGCTGAGGCTCCTCGGGATGTTTTTGCAGGAAGTATAGGAAAGGCTGCACGCCTCTGATAACTCCACTCTTTCCTCAGGCGATACAAAAATTCACCTCACACACATGAATGTGGAACAGAAATAAAGGCTACTGACACCCACACTCCTTCCTACAAATCTCACACACATGCAGTTACAGAGCAGCAACGTTTCTATTTCTACCGCACATTAGAAGGGCCTCTAACGCAATTACAATATAGCACTAATATTGTAGTATATTTCTTTAATGCTGAATATATCAATATTTGAAATCACATATGAAGGCGATGTGATAGATGACAGCGGCAAAAAGTCCTGATAGATTTCATTTCCTTTTGATTTCATCAGATCAAGGAGAAATCACACGAGTGTGCTGCTTCTGTTACATAAGCCACATCTTGACGTCTGGATCTGTGGGTAAGAACTTGACTGAAGTTATAAGACTGCAGCCATTCTTAAAACCTTTGAGAGAGGTCTCTCTGAAATATAGTAAATGCATTAATTTGGGTTTTGGGTAGTTTGACAAATAACATGTACATTCATTTTTTTATTTAAAAGAAAATAATTTAAAAAAAAAATAATAAATTTTATACAGTGGGGACCAAAGTCTTGTCCGTTTTTTACAAACTCAGCATGTTTTATTAAAAAAAAATCATTTTTTTCATTACACATTATATTATCAGTATAACGATTTTAGCAAGAATTTCAGAATGTCTTAGTATTTGGTTTGTCCTTCTTTAGTTTTATCAGCACAAAGGCTGCTTTGTGTCAAACCTTATGATCATGTTCTCCAGCATGATTTGAGATGATCCACAGAGCATCTTGAGCTTCAGTGTAGGAACATGTGACCATCTGTACAGAGTCACATGATCGATGTCACAAATTTACTTATTGAATTAATTTCTGCACTGTCAGCCATTAATGCAACCAGTGCAAAATCCTAAAATGAATGGTTTAAATTACATATTTAATTACAGATTTTCAGAATCTGTAGACTTTTATGGATGTCAGTTTTTAAATATATATATATTTTAATCATCCCTTGCAGCACACTGAAATAGTCCTGTACTTTGACAAATTATTTTAGAATATACTTTTAAATTTTAACTATATTTTTAAATCTTAAAGTATAAATATTCAATGTAGTCTCAATTATTATGTCAGAAAAACTAAATAGCATGTATAATAATTATGCAAGAATAGAAAATTTGAAGTATAGCAACCATAGTGAAAGAAACTGCTTGAAATGTCATGCCAACATCATATTTCCTACATTTCTTTTACACTACGACTTCGGTTAAGATTGTTCTGACCTTCTGAGAGGTTTGCGCAATGTTTTCAAAATTTCAAAGTTTTAAATGCATTATTTAAAATGTATTCTTAATACGCAAGTCATTTAGTTTGGCTTATATTCTCCTACAGTCAAGTTTCAAAGTAGCAACCCCAATTACAAATCCTCCTAAATGCAAAACTTCTGCGTAGAGTAACTACACACTCAGTGTCTCCAACATTCATCATTGCACATGCACTCACTCTCAAATCCTCTTTCTCCCTCACTCATTCATGGTTTCCTCCCCCTTTGGGGCTCTTGTCACCTCTGTATACAGATCCAGGGACAGTATGATCAGCCAAAGAGCGCTGTGAGCAATAACGATGTGTATGCACGTGGGCGTCTCACCTCATCGCCATCTCTGTTCAGAGCCTCAGTGCATCTCCATATCTCAGTGTGAGAATTCACATGCTAAGAGCTGTCACTGCATCCCAGTACCACTGCACCTCTCCAAGTCCTCGCTCATCACTATGGCAACCAGAAAAATGGTTCACCAGGAAACTTTGCCTGCTTTTAAAGGGCCAAAGCACAAATCTGGAGCGAGCATCCTCCTGACGGGTGTGCAAAAGACTCAAGGCGTGCTCGTGCACCGAGCGCCACACAGATGTTTAAAGAGAGGGGAGATTGAGAAGGGGAGAACAGCAGAGAGAGAGTGTGTAAATTAAGTAGAAGAAACACAGAATGTGATGGCTTAATGTGTGGGCGTTAGGGCTGAATAGATTGGCCTCAGTCACGACAGAAATTAGAACGTAAGAGAGCGACAGGTAAAGAAGGTAAGGGGCGACGTTCGTCCATTCTGCAAAATTCAACTCTACACAAATCAGAGATTAGGCTTTGCCTGAGGAAGACCTATATAGAGTGAATGCAACACTCATTCACACATCCGCTTGCAAACACACACACACGCACACACACATTTAGCCTGTTAGGAAAAAGTGTTCTGTAATCCCTGTAGTGATGCCCAATGAAAATACCCGCATCCGCAGAGGTGCGCTGACTAAACATGACACACACAGAGCCTGAAAAGACACAAATTACTCTCATCTTCCAACAAGCAGTCATTTAAACATCCTAATACGCACACAATTCACCCAAGGATGTGTTGGAAATCATAAAACTTACCTAATAAAACCAGGGCACACATTCCACACCATCTCGACTTCCTCTGTGAGGGTCCGTGTCTGCTCTGTGAAAGTGTATAAGTGTGTTAATGTGTGTATTTGGAACGTATGTGTGAGAAAGAGAAGAGAGGGAGAAAAGAGGAGAGATAGAGGGAAAGGGAAAGAGAGAAATAGAGGGAGAGAGAGGGAAAGCGAGAGAGAGTGCGGAGGCAGAGAGACTGTTACTGTATGACAGGATTGCTCAGCTCAGCCCACACAGTGCAAGCATGATACACTGACTGTGTGTGTGTGTGCGCGAGAGAGAAAGAGAGAGAGAGTATAGGGAGAGGTTCAGTCTCCCACTTCTTTGCGTGGGCAAGGCCTGAATCTCACTCACAGTCTCTCTCTCTTCTCAACAGCTATTACAGGAGAACAGCAGAACTGGATGGTAAAAAAGGGGGATTGTGAATGAGAAAGCCTGGGGAGAGAGAGGAGAAGAGAGAGAACGAGCCCCGCCGATGGTCTCGTGGCCGATTGGTTCTGTTTTATGACATAAAAAGTTTGTCAGCAAAATCCCAGAGCATCAGAAGCAGGGATGAAAGGTTCCGTAATCGCCATGGCAACGCGCCAGACGTAAACATCAGCACGGTTGCGTGGGCGTCCTTTGTTCGGTGTGTGTATGGAAAGACGGTCACAACAATACGATCCTTACGAGAGGTCAGGGTAGCGACATATAATTATGTAATAAGCTTACGCACGCAACTGCAAATCTGATACAGAGTGAGACTGAATTGGATGGAGAAATTCACACACAGGTGAATAGCACAAAAATCAGGTCCGCAAAATAAAAAAAATAAGTATATTTTGCATAAAGCAAATGAAGTCTGCTTTTTAAGAATGTTAACTTTGTTTTTGCCTTGTTTTCATGGCAATTAATCACATTTTCAGACTTTTCCAGATGTTTCTATAGCCTCATAAGACTAATAATATTTAATATTTTAACAAAAATAATATTTAAATAATTGTGTCATGCTGGAAGAATATTTAAATTCTATTAATATTTAAAAGTTAGAAAGTGATGAAAGTTGATGACCTAAAAATAGATTTCCCTGACATTTATATGAAATTTTATGAATATGAATTTGATGTTGAATTTGAAGCTTATTGTAGAAACTTAATTTGCTGTAAAGTTGCTTTGAATTGAATGTTGATTAAAAAAAAGTAATTTTTTCCATTATGACAATTTTCATCTAAATTAAGTGTTTACCCTCCACTGTCTCTCTAATGTGTATGTTTTTCTTTGTTTCTCATTATTCTTGATGATTCTCATTAGAGTCTCACTGAAATTTAATTATTTTCTGATTTAATACAGTATTAATCAGCATAAATTAAAAGAAGTACAGCAAATGCAACCATGATGTACAGTTTAAATATATGTATTTTGCATTTCAGTAATGAGATTCTTTTTTTCATTAGATTGCGTTATGCTAATGAGAATTAAAAAGGCAATGTGCATAATATCATGATGACAGCGCAAAAATAAATTAATGGTTCTAAAAACAGGCCTCACTTTTGTTATTGATGCAAAATATATATTTTTTTATTCTTTTCTTTTGATTTTGGATTAAAATATGATCTGGACAAATTTATATTTTTCATGCAATTCACCCAAAGCTGCAAACACAGACGGCAGCTGTATGAATTAGTATGTAAGTGGTCTTAGAGCATGACACAAGCTCTAGTCCCTTCCAAATTAAACGGTTGGACAAAAAACACAGCCAGCATCTCTGCAAGCAACCTCTTAATCACTGAAACTAATAAAGCTTAATGA